TCACTGGCTTGAGTTATACGCTCTAGTGAAAATTTTCACAATTCTAAAGTGAAAATGTGAGTCTTTGATTTGTTGATATAATCATACAACTATCATATGACCTCAAAACAATGGCAATGCTATGACTCATTTCATCGGGAAAGTCCCTGTTGTATTGCGTCGTCGATTTCCTGTTTTTCTGAAAATGTCACACAATGACAAAAAACAAACTCCTTGAGGTAACTCAGCATGACCTTTTTGAAAATTAGACCAATCAAATTTTGCCATGTCGACAAGTTCTGAACAGGAACAATCGTCATCTTTCCTAGAAAAGAAGAAGCGGTTGATTTCGATGATATCAGTCGTGAAGGTAAAATTAGGAAAAGCTGTGGTGTTTTGTTTCCTGGCTTGATACAGTGTTGGTTCTTGCTTCTCGTACCTAATATCTGATACTACGAAAGGTGACCAAAGGTGCATACTTAAAGCATTGAATAATTACAAAACAGAGCTCATTTTGAAATGGCGGCTAGTGATGTTAAACCTGCAATTGTCTATGAAATTACGGGCTTTGACCGATCTCAAGTTGTTGAACAACTTGAAGGCATTGTCAACCATGTTGGTTATCGAAACAAGAATTTCTTTTATTATTTGGGAATCTCTAAAGTCGAACAAACAAACCAATTTCGCAAGTTCTTCAAACTAGAACCAGACCCAGAGGAAGATCAACCTGGTAATGGAATCATATCAGTTTTTAAAGGTCATCAATTTAAAAGCAGATCTTACGACAAGCAATTAGTTGATAAGCTGGATGAAAAATATGAAACGAATATCTCTTCGTTCGCTGAAGATCTTGAGGACCTGTTCAAGAACAATACCAATATAGCTGGATACCCATTCGTAACTTCAGAAGTGTACATTCTCTTGCTATTCGAAATAGCGAGACAACGAGTAAAGGGTTCGGACGAAATGAAAAAGTACAACAAACTCAAGATTGATGAAGCAATTACAAATCTCATAGCACTGATGAAAGCTGATTATTGTAGATTCGACGACGTATTTTTGGAAGGAGGAAAATTTCATTGCTTTAATGGCGAACCTAAAGATAGAGAAACTGTTATTGAAAAGATTGAAAAGAGCCTCAAACAAGCGCAGCGGAAAATGAGGACGTAGAAGAACTGAAGCAAGACTTACGCAGCCTGTCCGTTAGCGGTTCATCGTCGGCAAAGAAGACCTCAAAGGCACAACAGAAAGATCGGAAGAGTTGAGTTCCAGGTAGACTATTTTGCTCATTTGTACCTGTAATTTTTTTCAAAAGATTTCATAAAACTGAGATATTGATCTCAGCGTCCGCATATGCTGCGTTTTTAATCAGCTTCAAAATATATTTCTGTAGTGACTGGAGTTAGCAGTTTTGTAGGCTGCTGGCTGATTATTGAAGCGTAATTCATATTGTAGCGGTGCAATTTTTTTTAAGTCTACGTTTTGAACACGTAACTGTGTAAGGTTTCTATTATGAGGTAGAGAAGGAATTTTTCCTGCCGGAACAAAAATAAATCTTTCTTCCTTTTGATAAGAGATGAGTATTTTCTCAGAATTAAATTATTTCAGTTCATCAAGGTCACGTTTAATTTAGATCAAGCGTGAATGTTATTTCCCTTCTTTTACACGAGGAAATGTATTTGTAAATAGCCCTATGCTCAAATAATGAGAACATCCACGGTGACATGAAATCTAGCTTGTGATTCTGCACATCAATTGAAAAGCTTGTGGCTGTGCTGGGAGGAAGTCACAGTACTATCGAAAACTTCGTTTTGAAATAGACAAGCTCCATTGCTTCTCTGTCTCGATCTTGTAAAGGCGATCTAGCACACAAAGGATAAGATAGAGCTCCCTTAAGCAGGCCGGATGGGAGAATACTGTACTGCCCGCACTAGGAATCAGATTGCAGGATTTGTAGAATACCGCCCGCTCACGCATCGAGAAAAAAATAATTATGAGTACGAAATGGAAATCAAAAGACGCAACAGTTGTTGAACCTGGTTTTGATATCATTTACGCGCAGATCAATTATTGAGGGACTCAATGGGGTGATAGCCTTTATGGCTAACAGTTATAATTTTGGCCAATTTACGGCTAACGATTAATATCATTCCATTGCTGTCCACTGTAATTTTTTTAGGGCTAATTTTTTTTCCATACTATTTCATGAAGACATGTATATGTAAATAGCCCTATGCTATAAGTCTGAACAACGCTGTGGCGGTTTAGTTTTATAGTTTGTGGAATTGCTTACCCTTTTACCACAAGTCCCTCGAGGGATTTTTTTCCCAATGAGCAAAAAGTGGTTCAGTGAGCGATTTTTTGAAAAATGAATTAAACTTAAAGTGCAATCATATCTTATAAGAGGATCCTAGGCTGCCGTGCGTCTAAAAAATCTATAGGTGACCTCAAAATTCGTGAAGTAAGAGCAAAAAAGCGGCACTCAGAGGCGTAGCCGGGTGAGTCACTGGTATTCTTAACTCGTTTTTACGTCTCCTTTTATCAAAGAATAATAAAGAAGCAATCAGCAAGAAAAAATCAAGTCATCCAGTGTCGCTTTTCAGTCTCGACGCCTTCTCCCCTACCCTACCCTCCCCAGCCCCGCCCCCCCTTCCCTTCACTCACCAAAGTACCAAAGTCAGTTTGAGATTCAGTGTTTGCAATAAAATGTGACTCTTTCCCTGTGGGTTTTTCGTTTTCACTCTGGTGCACTGTGCTAGTTGAGGAATTAGTGCGCCGAACTGCAATTGCTCCCCTCACTTTTTATTTTTGTTGATCGAGTTCTAATGTCAACACGCAAGCTTGAATAGAACGTATTGTACACAGAATATTTTAAGGCATCAGATTATAAGTTCGAATAATTTGTTCAATTGCTTCACCATAGGTTTGTTTCAAGGTGTTTTTTATGGTGCACCAGTTTCTGCCAAAAATTTGTTGTGACTTACAGAATTCCTCGATCAGCTGTTCCTGAAATCCGTTTTCTGTAGGTTCCTCGACTGTCATTTCCAGGGCTTCAATTTTGGCTTCCTTCGCTCTCCCTGAAGGAATCTCCTCCTTTTCTTTCATATTCTTAAGCCAGTTCTCACTTGGAGAACTATTACTGTGCTTTCTGTTTGTTTTGATGGGTATTAGCTACATTATTGTCGATCGTTCATCTGGAATCATCTTGGTTTAGCTTCTTTCGCACCTTGTCCTGCATGCGGGTTTTCATTTTCTCTTCGCATGGGATTAAAATAAGCTCCCGCTTTTCTCGCTAATAGGTACGCAAAATTGGTTTTCACTAGCTTGAGTTAAACGCTTTGGTGCTTTAATCGAGCCCCTATAAAGCTCACCATACTCGCCAAAGTTGTTGAAACACTTCCATACTTATTTCTCTGCATATAGACTTGGAAATTAACGCACCCCTGGAAGGAAGGTACCCTTGGAATCATGGCTGGGGTTTTGCGCTCAGTTCTCCACAACCGTTTTCAAACGGCTAGCTTCCAGAAGTTGCATTTGGTTTTATGTCATAGTTGCGAGAAAAAAAAGAAAAAGAGTAAACCATATCAATATCAATGTTATATTTTGGTTTCTTAATTCTTTCCTCAATTGATTCCATTGGAGTTAAAGAGAAAGATACATTTACACTATTGCGTGGTTCCAAGACCATAATGTCGCAAAATCGATATCAATTCTCAAACCAAAACAGCGGCTAATTATTGGTTTAGGTTGGGCAACTCCTTCGATCCTAGACTAGACATTATAAAAACATATTTGCTACATCTAGCGGCAGCTAAGAAATTCTGTTCATTTGATGGTTCCTCAGAAAACTAGAATCTGTCGAAATACCTCGTTTTGATTTGAGATGGCTTGCAGTATTAAATCGCTTATAAACATGCACTCCGTGCTATGTGATAACACGACAGCTAAGAGAGACTCAATAGGGTGATGGCTTTTACGGCTAACGGTTGAAATTGTGGCTAATTTAAGGCTAACGGTAAACATCTTTTCATTCTTATAACCAAAAATTTTTAGTCAGTTGTTTTTTATTACGACTAAAGGTTACATTTTGTCAATTTTTCCGCCTAATGGCTAATTTTTTTGGCCGTTTTAACCCCATTAAGACCCTCAGCTAAGAAAGCGACTTAAAAAACCTTCTCAGATTCGTAAACTGAACATCATCCAACCAATTCCTTTTTTTTTCATTTATCTTTTGGACGAAATATGTAAAAGAGAAACATACTTTTGCATAATTTCTACATATATTAGAGGCGAGATACTCGCTTTTCTTTCAGTATGTTTATATCTCCTCGTTTACGTCTTTATCAGAAATCTGTCATATAGAAATTCAATCCCCTCTTGACAGATACATATTCTTCACGTGCGTAGGATCTCAAAATTAGTAATTGTGATATTTCATGTCGTATAAATGGGAAGAATGGTACAGCTGCCGCTGTGTCAGTTGTTTACTTCTAACTGATTCGACTTAGAAATTGGTTATATGCCGAACGTCAAGTAAATGTTGATGTAGGCGCAAGAATTTGTACTATCATTTTTTGTTAGTGTTGGTGTTTCATAGTTTCGTGTTAGGTGTTTATTTTCTCGTCTTCCATTAGTGTCCTTTGTCAGTTACCAGTTTTGTACTTGTTATATTTATTTGCATATCGTATATATATTGGTTGCGCGTAATTTATTTGGTTAGTTGTCTAGTTTGTGAAAATTACCGTTACATATCTAGCTCTGGGTTTCATGTTTTCGTCTTTGGTTTGGTCACATTCGTCTTGTAAGTATCCTTGTTTATTTCGCTTTGTCGTTTTCCAGTACTTTCACTCATACGATGTAAATTATTTTATGCTCATTCGCGTGTTTGTAATTTTGTCATTTTCAGTTACCGTATTCAACAATGTGTCAAGTTTGTTCTAGTAAAGTTTGAAATACGTGTGATTAGCGTTTGCGGCTATATTTTGTAAAAGACGAATCTGGTTTATTGGAAGTTTATGTCGATGTCTCGCAACGGTTCTGATGTCTACCTGTCTTATTCGGCCGGGAAGAACGGCCAACCTGCCGAAAACGGTCCACGTGCTCGTAAACCGAATACCTCTTTGGATCAAGAAGGAATCTCTCTTGAACGCATCCGTGAACTCAGAAAGCGGAGAGGAGGAGTGTTGTCTTCGTTAACGTCCAAGCGTCGAGAGATCGATAGTCTTTTAACGGATGAAAATAATTTGGGGACGGTGAAAGTAAAGCTGTCGGAAATCACGTCGCTATTTCGAAGATTTACCGAGGCTCATGACGCGTATAATGTAGCTCTGTTTGAGGAAAGTCAGAGACAAGAATCAGACCTCTATTTCGCCGACATTGAAAGCAGTTTAGATTTTTTCTGCCGTACGGTCAATGATTGGTTACGTGTCACGGAAGCCAGGCTTCAAGATAACCTGATAACGCCTGACGACAGCGCTTCTCAAATTGGGTCCGAGGTTCGTAGCAAGTCTAGACCATCCATGTGTGGATCGAGAACGAGTCACTTTTCTAAAACGAGCTCCATATCTGCTGCAAGAGCCAAAGAGGCAGCTCGCATCGCGGAACTTCGAGCGGAGGCACACGCTTTGAAACACCGCCATTCGCTTCAGGAATCGGAGCTACGCCTCAAGAGGCAAGAGTACGACCTGCAGTTGAAGAAAGATGAATTAAACCTCAAAACTGAGTACGCTAAAGCGGTGGCTAGAGAAGAAGCTTACGCTCAAGCTGAAGCGGGTAATTTCGCGCCTAGCAACGTGGCCTCTTGGAATCCTCGTTGTCCCGTTTCAGTCGTATCCTCCATCACTGAAAAGTCAAGGACTGGTGGTTCAAAACGTGAGTCATTTGTACCTGCCGATAAGAAAGAGAAATTGTCTGTGAAGTCAAGTAACCCGGTTAAAGATCATAAGGGTGCTGTGAGTGATTCAAGTTCAAGCTCTGGCAACTCAGGTCTGAGCGACCAGGCCTATGGCATTCTCGTCCAGCAGAACCGAGTAATGGAAGAGTTCGTGAAACAGCAGCAAAGGAACTTGTTGCCCAGGAGACGTGTACCTGTGTTCAGTGGAGACCCTTTACATTACTGTGCTTTCATTCGCGCGTTCGAGACCGTAATCGAAACTAGAGAACTAGATTACGCTGGGAGACTCTATTACCTCGAACAGCACACAGCTGGCAGAGCTCAAGAGTTGGTACAAAGTTGCCTCTACATGAAAGCCGAAGATGGGTACGTAAAGGCAAAGAAACTCTTAGAGAGCAAATTTGGACAGAAGCACAAAATCGCTATGGCATATGTGGATAAAGTCACTAATGGTCCAGTCATCAAAGCTGAAGATGCAGACGCCCTAGAAGGCTTTGCCGTTTTGCTCTCTAGCTGTACAAACACTCTTAAGGCTATCGGCTATTCCAGCAAGTTCGAAAGTCCGGATAGCATGCGGAAGATTATTGAGAGGCTTCCCCCGAAGTTGCAAGCCAGTTGGCGGGACAACGCTGATCGGATCCTCAACTCGGAAGCGAGAGATGTCTGCATTGATGATATTTCACTCTTCGTTGAACAGAAAGCTCGCACCTTGTCCAATCCAGTTTTTGGCAAGCTTCCTTGTTTGGAAAAGGAGAAGAAGAACAGCAAGGATAGGGGTTCGAGATCGAAGTCTGAGAGACCCGGTGGAAAACAGCTAAGCCTCGTCACGATTTCCGAGACGAAATCTGCTCTCAATTCATCTGCTGATGTGTTGAGTGCAGTTCATTCTTCTAAGAAGAACTGTCTGTTTTGTAATGCAGATCACAATCTCACCGAATGTTCCAGTTTCGCCAAAGTACCTCCTACAGATCGTCAGGAGTTTGTCATGAAGCAGAGGCTATGCTTTTCGTGCTTAGGTGGAGGCCATCAGTCTAGAAGTTGTCACAAAAGGAAGCCCTGTATTCACTGTAATAAGAGACACGCTACTGTAATGCATGTAAGTGCGCCAGAAGCTATTGTTGCGTCCGACCGTGGTAAGGATGGACCTCAGAGCGAGAACAACCAGTCCAGTACTGAGAAGATCAGAGCTGATCACTTTTGTGGCCTAACCACAATGGAGGGTTCCGTGACTGCATTGCCCATTGTTGCTGTGAAGGTCAAAGTCAAAGGAAGTCCTCGGTCCGTGGAGACCTATGCGTTGCTGGATAATGGATCTAACACCACCTTTTGCTCGGCTAATCTGTTGAGACGTCTGAGAGTCTGCGGCAAGGAAATGAGACTCAAGCTAACCACCATGGATAGCTGCAACGATGTGGACAGTCTCGTTGTTACGAACCTGGAAGTGGCTGATCTAGACGAGAACGTTGTCATTTCCTTGCCAGAAGTTCTTTCCCGACCTTCTATGCCTGTAGTGAAAGATGAGATCCCGAAACAAGAGGATGTGGATCGATGGCCGCACCTTCAAGGCTATGTATACCTAGCAGAATTGAATTCCGAGGTGGATCTATTGATTGGTGCAAACGTACCTGAAGCCCTACAACCGAGAGAAGTTGTCCCTGCCTCTGATGGGGGTCCATATGCAACTAGAGTTGATCTTGGCTGGGTTATCAATGGCCCAACTGGAAGAAAGCAAAAGTTTGTCCCATCTTCTAGTTTCTTCGTTAACTGTAAGGAGACTCATCCTATGTGTATAGCATGTGCTGATTTTGCAGATGCCACTCTTTCCGATGGTTTAAGCATGTCTAGGGATGACTTAAAGTTCATGAACATTGTAGAGGATTCAGTTATGCAGTGTGAAGATGGTCATTATCAGGTTTCTCTACCGTTAAGGGACCTCAACTTGCAGATGCCAGCAAACCGGAGTCAAGCAGAACGCCGTGCCCTCTATCTTAAACGTAAATTCTCTAAAGATGTGAAGTTTCGCGAGGACTATGTTGCTTGTCTTGAGAAGGTGATCGGTGACGGTTTTGCAGAAAAGGTTCCCCTGGATGTCCTGGAGAGATCAGATGGTAAGGTGTGGTTTATCCCGCACCACGGCGTTTATCATCATAAGAAACCGGATAAAATACGTGTCGTTTTCGATTGCTCAGCCCATTCTCAAGGAACTTCACTGAATGATGAGCTGTTTCAAGGTCCTGACTTAACCAATAATCTGGTTGGCGTGCTGATCCGTTTCCGTCAGGAGCCAGTCGCAGTCATGAGTGACGTTCAATCTATGTTCCATCAGGTGCGTGTCCCAGAAGTAGATAGAGACCTCCTACGGTTCCTTTGGTGGCCCCGTGGTGACTTCTCCAAGGAATTAGAAGAGTATCGGATGACCGTACATCTATTCGGTGCGGTTTCGTCTCCCAGTTGTGCTAACTTTGCCATGCGACGGAAT